ACACACACACACACACACACACACACACCCCACCACTATGTCCTGGCCAGCATTTATCTCTGAATCAACACTTTGTTATTTCAAAAATATACTTTATTCATAAAAGTACCTTTATATACATATATAGTCACTAAAGCAGTATGGTTCTGTACAGTAGCATATGAAGAAACAAACAAATATTGGAGTTTGATTCTATCCAGCAAACAAACCCAGGGCATTTCGTACCTGTACGATACTACATTTATATACATTAGAGGCACTGGGAGGGTCCAATAACTGAACAGACCCCCATTTCCCTACAGTAGGAAGATTTCAGACAGTGGTCTTTTCCCACTTTGCTTTGGCAGCAGCTGCCCCAAGCTTTAGTGCGCCCCTCAGCACGTAGTCCTGGAACTTGGAATGTGCCAGTCTGCAGCACTTGGTCAGGGTCAGCTCCTTGCTCCGGAAGACCAACAAGTTTCGGGCAGACCAAAGGGTGCCTTTCACCGAATTGATGACCCTCCAGGCACTGTTGCTGTTTGTCTTGATGGGTGTTTCCCAGGGAACAGCGCATGGAGTACAGAGTCCCAAGTCACAGTGCTGCTCGGACAAAACTTGACATTGCAAAAAAACCTCATTGGTCATTGTCACAGTGCGGTTTGTGGGAGTCTGCTTTGTGCAAATTGGCTGTTGCATTTCACTCATTTCAACAACAGTGACTTCACAAGTTCTTCATTGGCTGTAAAGCTCTGTGGTTGTGAAAGGCGCAACGTACATGCAAAGCACTTCCCCCTCCTCCTCCAAGGTGACATTCTCCCTTCATATAAGATGAAATGTTTTGATTGGAAGAATGGGGAAAGACAATATATCCTAAAGGTCAGAGATGGTAAGAACTGCAGATGCTGGAGTCAGAGATAAGACAGTGTGGAGCTGGAGGAACACAGCAGGCCAGGCAGCATCAGAGGAGCAGGAAAGTTGACATTTCGAGTTGGGAACCTTCTTCTCAAGAAGGGTCCCGACCCAAAACGTCAATTTTCCTGCTCATCTGACGAAGCCTGGCCTGCTGTGTTCCTCCAGCTCCACACTGTGTTACATCCTAAAAGGTACAAATCTACAGGAGCTGGAAGAGGAGAGAGAAACTCTCCCAGTCCACAAGTTATTGAAGATAACAGGATGGATGAACTGAACAGTTTATCAGAGATATAGATTGCTGGCCTTTTTAAATGGGAGTCTGGGGTGCCAGGTGGGGAGCTGCTTCAGCTGTAGGTGAGGGTTCAAGATCCAACAATTGATGTCACGTTGTAAATCCAACATGATACCACCACCCACTTCTGTGACTCTCAAGTTCACAGGTAAATGGGAAAGCTTTGTCCCCCTGTTGGGTAAGGTATTAAATTATACAATTAGACCAATGATCCCACTTTGCGTTCTAGCTTGAACTGCCCAGATGTGGCCTTCCTGAGCTCTGTGAACTTTGCCAGTCTCAACAGGTTGAGAACATGGAGGGCAGGGCTTGGGATTCAGTGAAACTGACAGTCTGGGAAGTCTTCGAGCAGTGAAACTGACAAGCTGTGGCTGGGCCGAGGAGAGCGACTCTAGCCACAGGATTCTTTCTGTGTGTTCGTGCTGCTTGATAGATCATTGCCAACTTCTCAGAAGTTCTTTGACCTCCATCACCTTGACTCCCAACTCGCCGATGCCAGTCTCCAACCCAGCAGGGGAGGGGATTATGCAACTCCATGTTGCACATCAGATGATGAACAAAAGGAATGTTAATATCAATCTGAGCATCAGTCTCAACCTTTCCTTCTGCCACAGATACTCCAAGGGCAAAGAGGACAAGCTCAAAGTTCTAGCTCAGAGAAGGTGAGGCCCCCAACACAGACCTCTATGGGCAGAGAGGATCAGCTCTGACTCAAAAGCTGTGAGCTCCACTTTGGCTTATGATGCTCAGGTTCTGCTGTTATCTGCAGCCTCCAGGAACAAGACCTCCTTCCCAGTGGCCAGGTGGGATCTCATTGCCAATACATCCAAGGTGCCAGCCACTGGAGACTTCCTCCCCTTTCAGTTCTCTTCAATCAAAGAGCTGCAGCAACTTCAATATTGATCAGATTCCTGGGCCACTGCCACCTACCCATTGCTCAGGGCTCAGTTTGAAGAGAATTCTTCCCTGTTATTCACATTAAGAACCAGGACTCTGTGCGAATCTTTTATGAGTCACTGGTTAAGAGCCAAGTGCGCTATTGTGTTCAATTGTGGATGGGTACATCACCAGCAACATCTACAAGCCTATCACATCCAGGCCAAAGCAGCCCACTTGATTGGCACCACATCCACAAAACTCCACTCCCTCCACCACTGACATAAGAACACAAGAACCAGGAGCAGGAGTAGGCCATTCAGCCCCTGAAGCCTGCTGCGCCATTTAATGCCATCAAGGCTGATCTCATCTCAGCCTCAACTCCACTTTTCTGCCCACTCTCCATAACCCTTCAACCCATTACTAAATAAACATCTGCCTGTCTCCTCCTTAAATGTACTCAACATCCCAGCATCCACCACACTTTGGGTTAGTGAGTTCCACAGATTCATGACCCTTTGAGATAAGTAATTCCTTCTCGTCTCTGTTTTAAATCTGTTACCCCCTATCGTAAAACTATGACCTCTCATTCTAGATTGTCCCACATGAGGAAGCACCCTCTCTACATTTACTTTTTCAATCCCCTTTGGCATCTTATAGACCTCAATTAGATCTTCTGTCATTCTCCAAAACTGCCAGGACCTGATGAGATCTATCCCAGAATACTGAGGGAAACGAGGAAGGAAATTATTGGGGCCTTGTATAATTTCTTTGTATCCTCTTTAGTCACGGGGGACTGGAGAGTAGCCAATGTTGTTCCTTTGTTTAAGAAGGTCAACAGGATAATCCAGGAAATTACAGGCCAGTGAACTTTATGTCAGTGGCAGGGAAAGTATTGGAGAAGATTCTTGGGGATAGGATTTACTCACATTTGGAAAAATATGGGCTTATTAGTGATAGGCAGCATTGGTTTGTGTGGGGAAGGTCATGTCTTGCAAACTTTATTGAGTTCTTTGAGGAACTAACAAAGATGGTTGATGAGGGCAGGGCAGTAGATGTTGTCTACATGAACTTTACCAAGACATTTTGACAAGGTTCCTCATGGCAGGATAATACAGAAGGTGAGCTGGTAAAATGGATGCAGAACTGGCTTAATCATAGAAGACAGAGAGTAGGGGTTGGAGATTTGTGACCAGTGAAGTTCTGC